GAGCCAGCAGGGTGCCCTTGTTGCCAAGAAGGCCAGTGGTATCCTGGGGTGCATTAAGAGGAGTGTGGCCAGCAGGGCGAGGGAGGTTCTCCTCCCCCTCTACTCTGCCCTAGTGAGACCCCACCTGGAGTACTGTGTCCAGTTTTGGGCTCCCCAGTTCAAAAAGATGAGGAACTCCTAGAGAGAGTTCAGAGGAGAGCAACAAGGATGATTAGGGGACGGGAGCATCTCCCCTATGAGGAAAGGCTGAGAGAGCTGGGCTTGTTTAGCCTGGAGAAGAGAAGGCCGAGAGGGGATGTAATCAACACATACAAACATCTTAAGGGTGGGTGTCACGAGGACAGAGCCAGACTCTTCTCAGTGGTGCCCAGCGCCAGGACAAGGGGCAACGGGCACAAAATGAAGCAGAAGAGGTTCCAGTTGAACGGGAGGAAGAACTTCTTGACTTTGAGGGTGACCGAGCCCTGGCACAGGCTTCCCGGAGGGGCTGTGGAGTCTCCTCTGGAGATATTCAAACCGCGCCTGGACAATGTCCTGTGCACCCTGCTCTGGGTGACCCTACTTTAGCAAGAGGGTTGGACTAGACGATCTCCCAAGGTCCCTTCCAACCCTTGCCCTTCTGTGATTCTGTGAAGTGCCTCTGCCCTGCAGGTGCTTCCACCCAAGGCCAGGCTTCAGGAATGAGGTACTTCTCCACTCGTCCTGCACCTTGGGCAGAAAAGGGAACCTTTCCACAAATCTGCGGGCAAACCGAGGTGGTATCTCATGGCTTTGCTGCCTGCTCTTTAAAGGTGCCCTTCAGAACAACCCACCATGACAGCAGAGCCCGCGGTCGCTAACAAAGGCACCATCCGCCATCAGGAACACGGCACCAGAGCACCTCGGTTCGCCATTTCTGTCCGTTTTAAAAGCTACCTCCCTCCCTCCCAGAGCAGCTTCAGAACCTCAGGTTGCAGCCAGCACCGCTTTTTATCAGCCGCGCTCTGATGCATTTCGAGCCAGACTTTACAAGTACGAAATCAGGTTACGCACCCCGCCCTTTCACATGCAAGTGCCCCCAAAGCAGCCCGTGGGTCCCCAGTTATTAAGGCAGCAAACCTATGCACAACTTCAGTACGTAACCACCACTGCTGTTCCTCATTGGGTATCTGAACTTCCGCCACCAAGAATTTTAGCAGCTTCAGGAGGTTTTCAGGTGCAGCACCTGACATTCATGTTTTCCCCGCAGTACTTTACCCCATTTCCTCAATTTCAGCATGCAAACTGCCTCACCCAAGGCAGCACAATTAGCAAGGGTTAACAGGCCGCTGCAAAAACGCACCCATAGATAACGCTCTT